TAGAACACGGAGAAAGATAAAAGGAAGACCGGGAGAGGTTACGATACAAATAGAGAAGGGTCGTACGCCACACGAGACAGAGAGAATCCAAAGGGACGCGTACAGGGTGTTATGAAAGTAATGGTCGTGGATTACAAAGATCATTCTACGAGGCATTGTTCCATGAATATTTACAAGGGAGGTTCAGCCACCGAAGTAATTAACACTTCTGAGTCCTATGCACGTTATAATGTGCATGCGATTTATTTCGTTTTTAATTTCAAAATGTGTAATCAAATTTATCTTTGTGTCTTACTAGTGCCCTTGTATGCACAACTTTGGAATGACGTTAGTACCATTTCTGTGGCAATTTTATCTTGGTTAATAATATTATTGTTACAGGGACAGTTTGTAACTTTTCGAAATTTACGAGTTTTTTAATTTGAGCTTAGAGACTTTGAAATGTTAGAGTTTGGGAATTTAGAAATTGACAAATTTGGGTATTTCTGACACTTTGATATTTGGGTCCATTGGAATACTTGAACTTTGAAAATTTGACAATTTAAGTATTTGAGAATTTTAATACTTGAGTACCTAGAAATTTCCTTGTAGTATGAAAATTTGTAAGCAAATATAAAATATAAATAATACTGTATTAAGAAATAAATCAGTTACGAGAATCCAATCATACAACACCCCCAGTGTACTAAGAATGAATTAACTAGTTACAGCGATTCACAGATTTACGTATACTTAATGCTTGTTCTATTTTCATTTTGTTCCACGCCCGAAGCTTTTCCGCTTCCCCGCGCTGTCTGTTTCTATCAGCATCAGAGTCTACATTTTAGTTTACCAGTCCTCTTTGTGTCTATCTGTCAGTCTTTTTTCGTATTAGCTTCCATTCACTCGGCTGTCTATTTCGCCATAGGTTTCTGTCACTTTCCTACCCAATGTTTACCCGTTCTTCCGCTTTTCTCCAGCAATATCTCTTTATCCGTGTCGTTTACCCTAGTCTTGTCGCGTGTCACGTGTTACCAATCGTACTCCTGTATCTCTTTAATTCTTAATTTTCCTTGATACCTATAAATTCCTACATTTTTTATCTTCCTTCGTTCGCTTGTCTGTTATTATTCACGAATTTTTACATCGAAAATTGACCATTTTTCACGTTTCGTTCCTCTACGCAGATTACTTTTCTGACAGCCGTTTCGTAACTTTCGTTCAACTTCAACTTCATACATTTTTGAATTTTTGTAGGAACTTCTGTAACCGGATTTTCATTCATATCATTTTCATGCATTTGATATTCGAGGTTGATTTTCTTCTTTTTGGGAAAGCTTTTAGTGTATTAATAGGGTGGAGTGCTGGTTATTTGGAGTTTGGGGGAATTTGGGGATATGGTGATTTAAGGATTTAGGGATTTAGGAAATTAGGGGTTTGGGAATTTAGGGATTTGGGGATTTGGGAATTTGGGGATTTGGGGATTTGGGGATTTGGGGATTTGGGGATTTGGGGATTTAGGGATTTAGGGATTTGGGGATTTAGGGATTTAGGGATTTGGGGATTTAGGGATTTGAGGATTTAGGGAT